ACCCTGTCTCAAAAAGACAAAACAAACAAACAAACAAACAAACACCTCCCTTCTTGATATCATTGGGCTGTGGGCTAAACAGCCAGGAATGCAGGTGCCTTGTTCTGGAATTAAAGGACCAGGTGGCCAGGTAGCAGAGGGAAGTGCACAACGTGTCACCTTATGATGTCCCTGTGCTCTGCGGGGTCATATTAGATCTGAGACTTAACAAATGATTATAAATGTATTAGAAATATCTTCTTTGTTTTTGAGATGGGGTCTGGCTATGTAGCCCAGGCTGGCTTCGAACTCACTGGAGATCCTCTTACTTCAGCCTTCTGAGTGCTGGGATTACAGATGTGCACTACCACACCTATTGTAGAAATATCTTTCTTGCGTTAACTGGCAATGCATGCTATTTTGGACACCCTCCCAGGCCTGCTACTGTCTATCTGCCTAATATCTAACACATAAGCTTCATTTATTTATTTATTTTTGGTACTAGGAATCGAACTCAGGACCTTCTGCTTGCCAGGCAGGCACTGTTCTGCTGAGCTATATCTCTGGCCCCAACATATAAGCTTTAAATTTCCCCTTAAACACTGCTATAGATGGATCTTATTTGCTTTTATATCATAAGGTTTTATTTTCACTCAGCTGGATATATTTCTTATTTCCCTATGATTTCTTCATTGAGACATGGGTCATCCAGAAGTGTGTTGCTTAATTTCAACATGTTTAGAGATTTCCTGAACTTGTTTTCGGTTGATTTCTAGCTTCATTCCATGATGGTTAGGAATTATGCTTTTTATGATTTCAGTTTGTGTAAAGTTATTGATTTTTTTGTTTGTTTGTTTGTTTTCCGGTACTGGGAATTGAACCCACGACATTGTGCTTGCCAGGCAGGCGCTGCGCTGCTGAGCTAAATCCTCAGTCCCTGTGTAAAGTTACTGAGACTTATTTTATGACCAAGCAACTGGCCTACTCTGGGGAATTTTCCAACTATGTTTGAAAATAATATGCATTCTAAACCAGGTGTGGTGGCACACAGCTGTAATCCAGCACTGAGGCGGCTGAGGCAGGAGGATCATTGCAAGTTTGAGACCAGCCAGGGCTACAAAGTGAGCTCAAGGCCAGCTTGAACTGCATAATGAGACCCTGTCTCAAAAAGACGCCCCCCCAAAAAAAAGAAGAAAGAAAGAAAAGAATGTATATTCTGCTTTTCTTTGTTGGCGCGTAAGGTGTCAGGTCAGAGTGCTTGGTTAATAGTGTTTATGTTTTGCCTACTTCCTATTATCACTTGCACCCTGTTTAAAAAAATGTCTCTAAAATATTTTCCTCAACCAGGTGTGGTGATGCATGCTTGTAACCTCAGCTATCTGGAGGCTAAGGCAGGAGGATCACAAGTTTGAGACCAGCCTGGATTACTTAGTGACATACAATCTCAAAATAAAAAAATAAAGTATGGGTGGTAGTGGCCCATACCTGTCATCCCAGCACTCTAGAAGCTGAGGCAGGAGGATTGCTATGAGTTCAAGGCCAACCTGAGCTACATAACAAGACCCTGTCTTAAAAAAAAGATAAGACTGGGATGTAGCTGAGTGGTAGGGTACTTGCCTTCTAATGTATCTAATACCTTAAACAAACCCAAATAAACCCCTCTATAAACATAAAAACAATTGGAAATTGCATGGGAAAAAAATCATTGGCTTTGATTACATAAAAACTAAAAGCTTCTAAACATTAAGAAAGATTGGGTGTGCCGGGTGTGGTGGTGCACGCCTGTAATCCCAGTACTCGGGAGGCTGAGGCAGGAGGATCACTGCGAGTTCGAGACCAGCCTGGGCTACAAAGGGAGCTGAAGGCCAGCCTGAACTGCATAGGGAGACCCTGTCCCAAAAAGACAAAAATAAATAAATAAATAAATAAATAGTTAGGTGTTTTGTTTGTTTTTAGTGGTGAGTGCTCAGACTGAACCCAGGGCTCCCACATGATAGGGAAGTGAGCCACACATACCTCGCCTGGAAACAGTATTAAAATCCAAACGACAATAGGAAATGGGTTTCTCTGTTTGTTTGTTTGTTTTGTCTTTTTGAGACAGGGTCTCACTGTGCAGTTCAGGCTGGCCTTCAGCTCATTTTGTAGCCCAGGCTGGTCTCAAACTCACAACAATCCTCCTGCCTCAGCCTCCTGAGTGCTGGGATTACAGGCATGCGCCACCACGCCTGGCTGACAATAGGAAATGGGGAAAATATGTGTGTCATACTCACAATACAGGTGACAGAAAACAGATTAGTGTACTTCATTAATAAAGAATCCTCAAAAATCAATACTTTTTTTTTTGAGACAGAGTCTCAGCTATCTGCTATGTAGGTAGACATCAGCTATCTAACTACTATGTAGTTCAGGCTGGCTTTGAACTCACTATGTAGCCTAGGCTGGCCTTGAACTCATGAGCATCCTCCTGCCTCAGTCTCCCGAGTGCTGGAATTACAGGCGTGCACCACCATGCCTGGCCATAAATCAACAAATTGCTCAGTAGGGCCTGGTGATATAGCTCAGTAGTATAACACTTGCCTAGGAGATGAGAGGCCCTGGGTTCATTCCCTAATATCTGAAAAACTAAAAAGAAAAGAAAAATGTGAACTATTACATGACAGAATTAAAAGGATAAATAAGCTACTTATCAATTATATGTTTTAGTAATCCTTAGCAATTGATATAGGCCCTCCGGACAAAAATTGGATACAGATGTCACAAACACTAAAAACAGTGTGACTTTACAGATATGATCCAGATCGTGGGCATTAAATTCAGAACATTTTCCTGGATTTACCAGGTGGGCCCTATCTAGTCTCTTTTTTGGGGGGGTGGGGGCGTGTCTCACTATTGTAGCACAGGCTAGCCTCAAACTCCTAGTGATCTTCCTGTCTCAGCCTCTTTTTTTTTTTTGAGACAGTCTTGCCCCGCAGTTCAGGCTGGCCTTGAGCTCACTTTGTAGCCCAGGCTGGTCTCAAACTCATAGCGATCCTCCTGCGTCAGCCTCCCAAGTGCTGGGATTTGCCTCAGCCTCTTGAATGCTGGGATTCCAGGCATGCACTACCAAGCCTGCCCCCAACCTAGTTTCCATAAACTCCTAACTCGGAGAGTTTAGAGCTCGTCTGGTGCAAGTTAGAAGCCAACCTGCGCGTATGGTGAAACTTCATTGGAAAAACAAAGAAGCGAGTGGGGCTGAGGAGAAGTTAGGTTTGAAGTGTGAGCAGGGTCGAGGATGGAAGGTTAAGGACTAAGGAACGTCCAGCCCTGCAGATGAGGTGGCCAGAAAGGAAGTGGGGTCTCGGCTTCCAGCCACAAGAGACTGGACTCTGTCAACAGGAGTGGCCTTGGACGTGGGCGCCTCCCCGGGGATCTAGAACTGGACACCTGAAGACCTAAGCAGAAGCTCCAGCTGAGCCTGGCTGGCCCCACAGCAAGCACTGTAACGAAGGAGTACTGCTTCAGCTGCTAACAGGGTCAGGACTGGTCACGGAGACAAAACAAAACAGAAAAAACCAACTTAACGTATGACCGCCCCTGATGTTTGGGGCTCTCAGCGCCCTGGCTGAGTTCCAGCCTCAGCCTCCCTTTCCTGTGCACCTCCAGGCTCCGCAGCCGTGCGAGCTCCCCACTGTCACCCCTGGGCACACGGTCCTGGCAGATGGCTGAATGGACAATTGGTGGACAGACGTGGAGTTTTTTTCTTTCTTTTTGTTTTTTGTCTTTTTGAGACAGAGTCTCCCTGTGCAGTCCAGGCCGGCCTTGAGCTCACTTTGTAGCCCAGGCTGGTCTCAAACTCGCAACGATCCTCCTGCCTCAGCCTCTTGAGTGCTGGGATTACAGGTGTGCGCCACCACACCGGGCCAGGTGTGGAGATGGAGAGATAAATGAATGCATCGCTTTCTAGCATGAGTTGGAAATGCAGAGATGGATGGATGAGCAGACAGGGAGAAATGGTGCAGTGCGTGGGCGGCTGAACTGAGGGATGGGTGTGTGCGCATTAGAGAGAAGGCAGAGAACTGCGTGGATTACTGGAAGGTTTAGCAGTGAGCTGGTGTGTAAGGTGGCTGCATGGATAGCTGGACAGGTAGATGGGGTAAGTGCAAGGTCATGTTCTGATGGCTGCGTGGGTGGATGTAGGATTGGATGGATGGATGGGTACGTGAGCACCCAGGTGGACTGGGGGGTGGACAAATGGATGGATTCTGGGTGCACATTCGAAGGGTCGGTGTTCGGAGAGGTTGGCGAGTGCTGAGCTGGAGGGGTGGAGAGGCACGAGGGTGAATCGATGGACCAGGGGCTGGATGGGAGGTGGGCGGGTCGGTGAACGTCTGGGTGGTTGCGCGCTGCTTGGGTGCAGGGAGAGATGTCAGTGGAGAGACAGATACGCGGATGTTGAAGTGGGCAGCCTTGGGGACCAGAACCCGCGGGATTTGAACCCAGGTTCTGCTATTTATGGGCTATGTAACGTTGGGCAAGTTGCTTTCTTTTCTTTCGGGTTTCTTTATCTGTGACAGAGGAGTGACAACAGTTCTTCGCTGCTGGGGTTTGTTCTGAGCAATGAGTGAGCTGATACACGTACAGCCCTAAAACAAGGCCTGGGGCATAACTGGATTTATCCAGATGGGAGGGAAGATGGTCAGATGACCACAGAAATGACCACGCTTGACCCAAGGGAGAAGGAGTAAAGGGTGTGGGTCGGGTCACAGACACTTGAGCCACTCTCACACATTTTATTAGGGGCTTAGAAGGGAATCCTAGCAGATCTTTCTGTTTGCCCCAAACTGGGCCCAGGAGTGGATCAGATCTGGACATAGGACAAGGTGACATCGCCCTGGATTTCCAGCGTGTCCACGCTCTGGAAGGCCGGGAGGCGATGCGAGTAGTCGAAGAGGTGCTGGCCATTGGCGTACACTTTGAAGCGATCCGTGCCGCAGCGAATGGAGAGCTGCGGGGGAGGGGAGGGGAGGGCTGAGGCCACGGCGCAGCGGCCACGCGCGGAGGTGGGGGAGGGGACCCAGGACTCACATCGAAGAACTGGCCGGGGACAAACGGGTTGTGGGGCAGCTTCCTCTCCTCGGAGCCCCAGGAGCCCTTCAGATGGCTGTTCCGGACCACAACGCCCTCAGACAGGCGGGGGTTGATGTGCAGTGCCCGGTCCCCTGAGGAGCCCACCTTGAAGTTGATGGCAAAGCTGGGAGCAAAGGGGAAGTCGAGTGGGGGGTCAGCACCTGGGTCTCCAGGGGAGAAAGGACTGGGGCCTGGACCCCTGGGTGCGAGGGATGAGGCCTGGCCTGGCTATTTCTACCTCAGTCGAGGTGCTTTACCTCTTGGCTGTGGGGGGTATGAAGCCCTTGATGATGATGGTCCTTCGGGGGCTGAGCCCCCCTTGCAGTCTCCCCAAATATGGCACAGGCTGTGGAGAACATTGCGGTCCCATTAGCTCTCAGATTACCAAATTCCAGGAACGTTTTTTTTTTTTGGTCTTTTTGAGACAGGGTCTCACTATGTAGTTCAGGCTGGCCTTGAGCTCACTTTATAGCCCAGGCTGGTCTCAAACTCATAACGATCCTCCTGCCTCAGCCTCCTGAGTGCTGGGATTACAGGTGTGCGCCACCATGCCCGGCTCAGGTTTTGTTTTTTTCGTTTTTTTTTGGTAGGGAGAATTGAACTCAGGACCTTGGGCTTGCCAGGTAGGCCATGTACCCCTGAGCTATATCCCTGGTCCCAATCCAGGAACATTTTTCACAAAGAGGTTCCTTACTTCCTGGAAATGTACCCAGCCAAGTCCCCTCCACGATTTTACCTTCTCCTCACCTTCCACCCCAAACACCCTCATCCCACCATCCCGCCGCTCCTCTCCAGGCCGCTCCCCACCCCAGTCCCTGCTTCCCCTTCACTGAACCAATCCTCTGGGCCCCAGTCCCACAGGACACCATACCGGGTTGAAGACTGGGGGTCCCGACATGACCTGTGAAGTAAGGAAGAGGTAATATTATTGGGCCATTCAGACACACAGCTCTGCATCCGGGTGTCTCCAGAATAGGGTTGGTAAAGGCCATCCCCACCCCCACCCTCAGCACCGGCGCAAGCGCTCACCGGCAGGGTGTTCATCTGCGCCTGCGGAGCGGGAGGACCACCGTATCCCGGAGCACCACCGTAGCCCGGAGCACCACCGTAGCCCGGAGCACCACCGTAGCCCGGAGCACCACCGTAGCCCGAAGCACCACCATATCCCGGAGCCTAGAGGATGCACAGGGGCAGGATGCTGAGGGGCTGGGGCCTCCTCGGCCACTCTCCTCCCCCTCGGGAAAGTGTCCCGCAGGGGGTACTTACATGGTAAGGCGGCTTAGCCATGGGTTTCTGTGGGTACAGAGAGAAGGAGGTCAGGAGATAGACCCCATGTTCAAGACTGGAGGGCCTTGAGGGTCCTGGCCCTGGCAACCCACTACCGCCATATAAGTGACTTCTGAAGCCCACGGTGACACAGATGATTGATTCAGGGAGGGGACCGCCATGTTGAGTGGCCACCAGTGCCCTTCGGGCTTCAACACAAAGCCTTATGACAAGGCCTGTGAATTCTGCTCTCTTGCACCCTCCCTGTGCTGTCTTCCCGCTGCCCCGACTCTCCCTGCCCCCTCCTGCTGCTCAGCTTGGAAGCCGCATGGGGAAGCGGAAGCAGAGGTGGGCATAGTGACACATGCTGGAATCCCAGCAGTCTAGGAAGCTGAGGCAGGAGGATCACCATTTGAGCCCAGCCTGGGCAATTTAGTGACTTAGGGAGACCCTGTCTCAAAATAGGAAAAAAATAAAAAAAAAACCCACAAATAAATGGCTTGGGAAATGTAAAGCCTTCAGCAGACGGGTACATGTGTCACTAGGTCCCTTTGTGTTGCTGTGATATCAACACGTGCCTTCTCTACTCCACCCCTTTGCTTCCTCACAGGTAACATGACCCGAATCAAGGGTTGTTTTGTTTTCTTTTTTTTTGGCTTTTTGTTTGTTTGTTTGTTTAGAGTGTTAGGGATTGAACCCAGGGCCTTTGCACTGAGCTACATCATCATCTCTTTCTCATGTTTTTGTTGGGAGATGATCTCACTAGGCTGGGCTCAAACTTGTGATCCGTTGCCTCTGCCTCCAGAGGGCTGGGACTACAGGTGTGCACCGCCACGCTGGGCTCCGAATCCAGGTTTTATAGGGAATTCCCTTTCCTCGTGGCTGTGTCACACACCTCCCTAGATCAGACTGAGTTTTTCCTTCTTTTGTGGCGACAGACTTGCTTATCTGATTCTATATCTGATGAGGAAAGCGGCCCCTGCCTTGTGCACAGCGACTTTGGGTCATGAATACTGCCCTTACTTAACTTGGAGACTTTGTGTCTGGTTTTGTTGCGGTGCTGGGGATGGGACCTAGGGCCCCCCAAGCTGCACAGCCCCAGCCCCAGGCTTGCGTAAGTGCCCCTGTGACACTGTGGCGGGTCGTGGCAGCGGCTGTTTGCCCACTTGGGATTTGGGAGTGGAGTTTCTAGATCACTCGGGCGCGGGTTTGCTCAGCTTTCCGACGCGGGCGGCTGTTTTCCAGGAGACTGTGCCAGCTCACGCCCCCACAGCCCTGTGGCTGGCTGTCCCACGTGCTTGTCACTCAGTGGTACCTCACAGGTTCTTTCTTATTATAGGTCTGATGAGCGTGTGGTGCCCAGGCACTGCAGCTCTGAGGTTCCCAGGCGACTATGGTGAATTTGTTTGCTATTCGTGAATTCTTTGCTCTTTATCTACATTTATTGATTTAGTTCAACTCCTCCTCCTCCTCCTCCTCCTCTTCTTCTTCCAGGAAGACCTTCCCGACTCATAACTAAGCCAAGCCCTTCCTTTAGACTCAAAACTGCCAGTAGATCCCCCACCTTGGCCCCAACCCTCCGCCTGTAGCTCCCCATCATGGGCTTGGCCCCTGGAAGCCAGCACCGTCTGTGAATGTCTGCCTTCCCAGCGGACAGTCTTAGTCACCCCAGAGTCCCCGGTGCCACCCTTTGAAGGGACTGGCACCGATCAAGTGCTTGAGCAATAAATGAATGTAAGATCAGATTAAGGAAGGCAGGAAGCAAATAAAGGAGGGGACCCCACACACCTGGCTTGGGGCAGGCTGGCCTCCGAGGAAGTTGATCGATTGAAGCTTCAAGTCCCCATCCACGTGCAGGTGGGTGACCATCTGTAAGGGTAGCCGGTGCTGGAACTCATAGAAGGGGTTTCCGTTCACCACTACCTGGAGAACAGGCAGGAGAGGTCCGGCAGTCAGCGCTGTGACTTTGGGGAGGTAGAAGCAACAGCTTTTCGGCTTTGGGTTCAAGGTCTTAGGTGCAAGTTAGAAGAACATCAGAGTCAGAAACCTTGGAGTCTAGAGGCCTGAGGTAGAGTTGGGTAAAACATGTGCTCACAAGCTGTAATCCCAGCACTCTGGAAACTGAAGCAGGAGAAAATGGCAAGTTCAAGCCCAGCCTGGGCAATTTGGTGACCCATCTCAGAAAGGGGGGGCATATAGCTCAGTGGCGCAGTGCCTGCCTGGCAAGTGCAAGATCCTGGGTTTGATTCCTGGTACCAAAAAAAAAAAAAAAAAAAAA